TAACATCCCCGGCGTCTATTGGTTTCCCAGCACAAGGAAGGGTGGAGGGCGGCCCGGCGCGGCAACGCACTGCGGATTCGCCGGACTAGGCTGCGGCTCTGTCCCCGTTGGAGCCCCCGCGGCTTCTTTCTCCTCCGCGGTCGCCGCCCTGGCGTGGAAAAGGGCGGGCTTTTCGGTGTCTAATTTCTTTGCTGGACGTTTTCCTCTTCGCAACCTCTTTAATGGGCTGCATCGCCCAGGGAACTTTTTCTTCCCTTCTGGCACAATCTTTTTTTTTCTCTTTTTTTGCACCGCACCAAGCAGAACTGCAAGACGTTTTATTTTCTGCTTTTCCACAGGGAGAAAAGGTTTCACACCGTATCTAGGCGCCGAGGCGTGGCTGGACTCGCAGTGACCGCAGGAGTGCGTTTTGGATGGCCTAATAATTTATGGGACGCGTATGGCTGCTAGAGCACAGAGACTTAAAGCCGGTTACGTTAAAGGCTCAGTAAAAACAATCAGGATGCAAAAAGTAGAACAACATTTACACCACCCCTCTCAGCAGGATCACTTGGGTCTGTGGCCTGTTTGAAAAGGCAGGTTTTCAATGCCTGTCTAAAAGCAGAGGAGGGATGGGGCAGGGTCTCTAGGGGAATGGTATTCCAGAGGGCAGGAGTGGTGACGGAAGAGGCACATTTCTGCAATCCCACAAGATGCCACTGTTTAACTGAGGGGAGCTGAAGTGTGCCCATCTTGTCAGAGTTTATGGGACCGAGACGATTGGAGACAGGCAGCCATGCAGAACTGCATAGGGCTTCCTAGATACAGTGACCATATTGGAAAAAATAAAGGACAAACTTGAGAAAGGGTCAAATCTGAAAGAGGTTCATAAGGATAAAAAAAATGAATTGTTTATGTTTTGCTCTTGAATTTTCCGTTGTAACACAAAGTTATAAAGGGAGATTCAAGAGCAAAACCAAGAAAACAAATGATTAAATAGTTCTTGTTCCTTCGAGGAAGTGTTGACTGTTGGCGACTACCTGCGTAAGTCCCTGGATTTTCCTTGGCAAGATTTCAGAAGTGGTTTGCCGTTGCCTCCTTCCTAGGGCTGAGAGGGTGTGACTGGCCCAAGGTGTCCCAGCTGACTTTGTGCCTAAGACGGGACTAGAATTCACAGTCTGGTTTCTAGCCTGATGCCTTAACCACTACATCAAACTGGCTCTCATAATTATATTAAATAAATCTATTTAATATTCTTCTAAGCTCCTATTCTTCTAAGCTCCTCTGAGTCTTCATTCCCAGGCTTACAAAATGATATTGTCTGCATATCTCAATTTGTTAATGCTTTGGTCTCCTATTTTGGTTCCAGGTACCATCTCTTTCAGTTCTGTCATTCTTACAATAAAGTCACCCAATGTGTTAAAGATATGGGGATGTTATACACCCTTGTCTCATTCAGTTTCTCCAATTCAGTTTTTATAGAAAGTTCTTCATTGTAAAGGTACTTTGGAAGAATGATCAGGCGTTCCAGCACATCAATTCCACATTGTTAACTGCTGTGGTCTAGCTGTAGTCATACACAAGTTTATTTACAATCAATAAATCCAAATTCTGACAAAGATTTTTCTGAGACAATAAAGCAAAAGTAAGCTTTCTAATAATGTCTTGTTCTCTCCAGTTTCAAACTTGCATTATCTGATCTCATGTCCCTCAGCCTATTCTGAAATCTGCCTATTGATCTGGCATTTGTCTCCATCTTTGGCTCTGTTCTTTGTACCATTTTAAGCAAAAATAACTTGTGGAAAGAGTTAGTGCACTGACTAATTTGTATAGTCTTCCATTTCTCTTCTTTGATACAGACATATAGACAAATTTTTCTAATTTCTAGGCCATACAGTTCCATGTTTGTCAACATAGATCTGTTAGCACTTTAACTGCCTGTTCTGCAGTTTTAAACAGTATGGTAGGCATTTCATTTGCAATTGGTGCTTTTCTGTTTGACAGTTGGTCTTTTGTAGATGTGGAAAATTAAGAATTTTGATTCAGGAATTGAATATTGTGTTGCCAGAGTGATAAAGATTGCAGATCTGTACAGTAGTCTATTGCTTGTTATATCTTTTTCTTGTATGGCACCTTTTATTTCCCAAGTTTCAATAAAGCCAAATAAAGAGACTTGAGACGAGGCTTCTTTAAGAT